GTAAAGAAATTTCTACCATCTCCATTGAAGAACCATTTTTACTCGTCAATGTTTTTGATTCAAGAAGACCTCATCGAGGATGTGGTAGAGGTTATCATGCCAATAATAATCAATTGTTCACCCATTGCAATCTATATTGACATACTAATTTTGTTATAAAAAACATGACCACCTCAACGTTCACAAACCAAGCATTTCAGTAAATGCTTCTTCAAGTAGGGCATTTGATTTTGTTCTTGTTGATAACACTAAAGTGGTTCCATCTAGGTACAATATTGAAATTACTCAAGAAAAGAACGATTATCTTGTATCCATGATCCAACAATCTAACTTAATGCCCTCTTCATCATTGACTCAGGTGTCAATAATCATATAGGTTCTTCTTTCAACTTTCATAGTTTTTCATTAAATTAAGCATATCATTATTAGCCTTCCTAGTGGTTATTATGTCAAAGTTCATGTCAGAAACATATTTTTTCTTAAAAGTTTCACCTCAACAATGTATTGTATTCTCCCGATTTCAAATTAAATTTGATATTAGTTTCCAAACTCTATCAAACATTATCATGTAATGTCAAACTTTTTTATAAACATTGTTTTATACAAGACATGAACTCATTGAGCATGATTAGTTTGGTCAAACAAATGGATAAGGGTGTATAGAATGGTGATGAATGGTTCTGCATAATATTATCATTCCTTCCCCCTATGTTAGTAAAAGTACCATTTTTGTATTGTCCAAAAGGTCAAATGTATATGTAAATAACATATACAAATCAATAAGTGTTTATATTTTACTTTTTCAAGCTTTATGGAATTTTATATTTGGATATTCATCATAACCTAGGCTATCCACCACGTCTCAGTTGTATCATGACTTTTCAAATGATAATAAAAGTATATGTTACATTTGTCACTTTGCTAGACAAAAGAGGACTAACCTTTCTAACCATAGTTCTAAATTTGATCTTATCCACTTTGATATTTAGGAACCACTTTCGATTAAATCTGTCCAAAAACATATATATTTCCTCACTATAGTAGATGACTATAGTAGGCTTACATGAATAGTTTTAATGAAATATAAGAATGAAACTACCAATCATTTGCAAAACTTCATTGCCATGATAGAAATATAACACAATGTTGTCCCTAAAATCATTAGGATAAATAATGGTCTTAAATTCCACTAACCAAATTTTATGAGTCTAAAGGCATTATCCATAAGAGATGTCGTGTTGAAACATTGTCAATAAAATGGAGAGTTAAGAGAAAACATCAACACATCCTCGATGCAGTAAGTGTCTTACTTTCCTAATCCAAACTACCTAAATTTTCTAGTTTTATGTTCTCCTACATGCTATTTTTTTATCAATCTATTCGTCACTTCTCTCTTACAGAATTAGCCCCCTTACCAAATGATATACAAATATATGCCGCCCTCAGACATTTTCAAAGTTTTTGGCTACCTATGTTATGCATCAAGCTCACCATCCCCATAGAACCAAGTTTGAACCTCGAGCTATGTTTAGGCTACAAAACATAATTTAAAAAATATGTTATATATGACCGAAATTTCAAAGAAATTTCCATATCTAAACAGGTACAATTTCATGAACAATCCTTCCTTACCCCATTACTTCTTCACCACTCAATAATAAATGGGAATATCTTCCCATCCCCTCAAAATCAACACACACCTTCAACACATACAAATATACCTGCTTATGTCTTTGACAATACACCCATACATACGAACCTTGAATCAACCCATGTACTTGATATTACACCAACACAAATACAAAACCTTACACATAATAATACACATGTTCTTCCATTTAACTTTGTACATGACACTACAAAAAGTATTGAAGAAAACACTACATCTAACCATATACAAAGCTCAATACCTAACCATACAGAAAGACATGTGCTTAACCTTGACTATAGTTCAACACATGACTCCAATATTTCATTTATCACTTCAATTATCAATTATGATTGTCCATCGAATAACATTTCTTTGAATTTTGAGTCTGTCATTAAACCATATAGAATATCATTTAGGCATAAGCATTCAGCATCACATCTTAAAGATTACATATGTCGCACATTTCATGATTATATCTAAATAATTGTCTTACCGTCCCCATCTCAATGTCGTTTTTCCTTATCTATCACTATAAAAACTAAACTTATGTCTTATGTTTAGGCTAGTAAGTATGATTGTTGGAACCAAGCCAATGAAGTTGAATTAAATTCCCTTGAGAGGATTGGTACATGAGAACTAGTTGTTCTTCTTCCTTATGTTAAACCAATAGGATGCAAATGGATATACAAAATCAAACATCATGCAAATGGAAGTATTGAAATATTTATGGCTAATTTAGTCGCAAAGAGGTACAACCAAATTAAGGGACTTGACTACTTTTATACATTCTCCACAGTATCCAAAATGACCATTGTGAGAGTAGTAGTTTCCCTTAGCTTCAATCATAATTGACACATGCATCAACTTGATGTAAACGATGTCTTTTTAAATAAAAAAGATGTGTATACGACCTTACCCCTTTGTGTTATTGCATGTAAACCAAACCAAGTGTGCAAACTCATTAAATTACTCTACAACTTTAAACAAACAAGTATTATTTGACATGAGAAGCTCACCTCATTACTCATTCAACACAAGCATCACTAAGCCATTTTTGACCATTCTTTGTTCATCAAACATATACATCAGCCCTTCACATTACAACTAGTATATGTAGATGGTGTGAACTAGATTGCAATTCCTTCTTTGAATTTGACAACATCAAACTTGTTCAGCATAATCTCTTCAAGATTAAGAATTTGGGTCAACTTAATTACTTCCTTGACATTGAAGTTGCTTATTCCAAAAAAGGAATTGACATTTGTCAAAGAAAGTAATATGTTTATCTTATTTCAGAGATAGGTTTCTTAGGATCCAACCATGTATGCACACATTTGACTACTCACTGAAACCATAACAGGATTGTGGTGCTTCATTTGCATATAGAAAGTTTATCAGAAGACTGTTGTACTTCATTACAACAAGACCTAACATTACATATACCACATAATAACGCAGTCAAGTCTTAAACAAACCTATTATTGTTCATCACCAAACTGCAATTAGACTGATCAAGTATCTAAAATAATGCCTAGACAAATGTCTGTTTTTCCCATAAACCCTTCATTGCAACCACATGGTTTCAATGATGCTGATTGAGATGATTGCATAGATTCTCGAAGATAAGTTTTAGGTTAATGTTTCTTTCTTGGTAAATTCCTCATATGTTGGAGAACTAAGAAATAACTCACGATATCAATATCATCTTCCGAGGTAGAATATATAATAGAGCCTTTGAAACTGTCACTTGTGAACTTCAATGACTCTTATATCTATTCAACGGTCTCTACATTACTTATCCAAACTTCGTGTTTTTGTGTTCTTTATTGTGACAATTTATGCCACATTATGAGAGAAAACCTACAAATTAAAATTTTAAAGATATTATTTGTGTCTTCGAAAAATGATGAGATTATGATGAGATTGTAATTCTTTCAATAAATCCTTGCTTTCTCGGTCATTTAACATTTTATTATCCAAGTTAAAACATTAGACATATATACTAAACTTGAAAACTTGAAGGGTTAATACATAACAAGAACTATAAATTTCATATAACTTTACATAAACAATAAGTTAAGATCCAAATTTGAGTGTAAAAAATATATCCTTTGTAATTTTATGATATATTGGTGTATTTTTGAAATTTGTGCAAGTGTATGAAGTCAAAAAGTAAGAGAGCAATAGAGACAACAATATACAATTAATATACACTGTCAAATAAATAATTTAAATTTGGTGTTCAAATAAGACAATTCAAGTTAAAATGCGTCTCTCTTTGATTACATATCGTACTCCCTCGATTTCAAAATAATTGTCGTTTTACCGAATAAAACTTGTTTCAAGATAACTATTATTTTTATTTTTCAATGTAAAATTTATTGTTATTTTTTAAATTATATCTTTTAATTATTATTTTATACACTACTTCTAACATATTAATAAAATTAATTTAATAAAAATATAATACATTATGACAATATTATTGTATTTATCTGTATACAAAAACTTTAATTTTGAAAAAAAAAAAAAAAACAATTCATGTATGAGAAAAACCAGACATTCAAATCAAATATTTAAATTTAGTTCAGAAGGTCAATTCCTTTTTAACTTTAGCAAAGATCAACGCCCACCTAACTGTACAATAGTATTAGATCATCCCATGGCCTGACCCTACCGTGCTTATAACGCCGACATGAAATAAAAATCAAACTTTGCCTACCTTTTCAATAAATATATACGTTTTTCAAATTCACTTACTTTGAATCCTTTTTCCTTAGTTTTTAAGTTTTCAATTAAATATAGTAAAAAATAATAATAACATTTAAATTGTTTCATTGATCTAAAATATTTATAAAGATCAAAACTAAACATATTTTTAACATGAATAAAAAATATGTAGTATTGCCCAAGGGAAAACACAAAACCATTAACAACGCCCATAATTTTCACTTTCCCTCATAAATAAAGAAAGATTGTGTAAGAAGAAAAAGGTAAAAAAAAACTTGGTTGTTCTAGTTCATCTCTCATTAATTCAATTTTTCTATATAAATATTTTTTCAGTCTATCACTTTCAGTTTCAGACCAAAACGGTGCGTTTCACTACTCCGTTGTTGTTTTAAGTTTCTTAAACTCGATCTAGCACCGATCTTCTCCGACGAGTCGCCGCCCGAGTCAACACACTCAGGCGGGGAAAAATCTTGACTCGAACAATTCACTGAGTTGACTCGAGATTTCGACAAACCAAAACGCGTTTCTTTCTCTCACCAATTTCCTCTACGTACCCCTAAAATCTTGTCATTTTTCGTATCTTTTAGTGGATTTTTGTTTTTCACCACACAGAAAGGTGATGGTGAATACAGAGTTTAAGAAAAAGAAGGGTTTTGGAGCGAAATGGCTTTGTATTGTTGTTCCTCTTATTGCTGTCATTGTTGCGATTGCGGTTTCTTCCAAAAATTCGTCCAAAATTTCTCTCGTTGGAGTCATTGGGAAAGCGTGTCAGTGTGCTCGGGTATTCAATCTCACTTCACTCTTCAGATCCATGCATACATGTCGTTCTTGTTCTTCTGTTCTGCATTTAAACTTAAATTGTGGAATCTTGAATCCGTAATCTCAATGCATATGTGTAGTTTATGATGTTTTTATTTTTAGCAGATTCGAATTTGCTATAAATTGTGCATTTTCTTAAATCTTGCTTTTACAAAATTATTTAACTTGTGTTACCATTGATGATTTCTTGTAATGTATAGTTCTTGCTTTGGATTCTGCTTGAAAATAGTAAAGGAATGGTTTTTGTTGTTGTTGTAACTTTGCTAGAGCACTATAGTATAATATAGTGTTCTGGAATTCAAACGAAATACTAGTTGCTGTGATCTGTAATGTATGAATTTTCTATGAGTTAAGAGTCAAGACTTTGTTTTTCTTTTATGCTTGTTGCAGGGTACACCGAAGTATAGTGGTATTGTGGAGGATTGTTGTTGTGATTATGAAACTGTAGACCGTCTTAACAAGGAAGTGTTGCACCCATCTCTTCAAGAGCTTGTGAAAACTCCGTTCTTTCGGTATTTTAAGGTTTGCTTGTTGTCGTTTCTTATGTCTATATTTTGTATTTGCAGCCATCCTTTTTGATATTGTTGTTGCTTATAATTTGAGATCAATTAAAGCATTTGGTTTTCAAGAGACATTTTTATTGTATTTTCTACGACTATATGATTTTTACTTATCACCGGACTATTTTAAATTTGATTTCATGAACAATTTGAGAAATTTGAAAGAACTCTATAGACACTTTAAAGCATTAGAACCGAGTCAATGTGCTATCGCTTGAGTTATCAACTGATCGTTCTGCCTTAAGCTCAAACTATTTAACCAGGTTTATGGATTTTAATATCGAACTTTCTACCACTGTTGAGTAGGAAAAGTACTGTTTATGATACTGTTTGGTAATTGGTGTAGGATAAATGTTAATTTAATTTATACACAAAGTTTGAACTGTGAATTGTGTTTACATGTCAATCATGATACTTTTCAACTATCATATTAATTACTGAGTTGCTTTCTATTTTCCTCTTTTGTCAACCCTCATTTGTTCCTTATGCGCTAAAAACTAGATGAAATTTTATGCAGGCCAAGCTATGGTGTGACTGCCCTTTTTGGCCTGATGATGGTATGTGCCGGTTGCGGGACTGTAGTGTATGTGAATGCGCAGAAAATGAATTCCCGGAGTCATTTAAGAAGCCTAATCGCCTTCCGTTGAATGATCTTGTTTGTCAAGAAGGAAAACCTGAGGCAGCAGTTGACCGTACTTTGGATAGTAAAGCTTTCAGAGGAGGATGGACAGAAATAGACAATCCATGGACTAATGATGATGAGACTGACAATGGTGTGTTACTCTGTCTAACGAGTTCATGTTTGAATGATTTCTGTTTATAGCGCTAGTTTATCATACTAAAATATTAAGTAGTTTACCTTTTAAAGAGGTAGCAGGAGCACCATGGAGTTCACATGCTGTGTAAAATACTTCATACTATTACACTGTTATGCAATTAAATCATTCTAATGGTTGAATTTACAGATGAGATGACATATGTGAATCTTCTACTGAATCCTGAAAGATATACCGGTTACACTGGTCCATCTGCAAGAAGGATATGGGATGCTGTCTACTCTGAGAACTGCCCCAAATGTAAGTCGTCTTCAGAAAACAACCAAAATTCTTTAATAATTTGCAAAAAGGAAAACATGATTTTATTTTTGGTAGATGGATCGTACTTTTCATATCATCACATTGACAGACTGATAGATGTTACATTTTTTCAACAATCTAATATCTAGTTCGTCATTTGTGGAGTGAATACTAGTTTGTTCTAATAATTTATTTCTTGAGTGAAAGGTAACTTGAATTTGATTATTCATGAGGAACAGCACTCTTTTATACCTATGTATGTATGTCTCGGCGATTTCAGGAGCATTATGTAACTGATATTGTATAAATTTTGACAGATCTTTCACAAGAATCATGCCAGGAGGAAAAAATATTGTATAAATTGATATCAGGTCTTCACTCCTCCATATCAGTACATATAGCCTCCGATTACCTAATTGACGAAGCTAAGAATATGGTAAATTTTGCATTCCTTTTCTCTGAAGTAGCTAATTTTCTGTTTCAAAAGAAACATTTTCATTGCTTTTATGGAATCAATACAGTATTGAATACTTGGTATATAAGCAGCCTATAGGTTTATTCTGTTATGTTTCTAATATATAGCTTTGAAGTTATAATTTGTTCAGTTTTCTTTTGGTATGATGAACATTATAATAGATGCTAACTTCTTTCCTTCCTTTTTATTTTCTAGTGGGGCCACAATCTTACTTTGATGTATGACCGTGTCATACAATACCCTGATCGTGTCAGAAATTTGTATTTCACTTTTCTCTTTGTCCTGCGAGCAGTGACCAAAGTGAGCATAGATTACCTTGATTTTAATTGACTGATCTTAGTACTTTTTTCTTCTTTTAGAACTTTCATTTATAAAAGAATTCTTGATGCGATCTACTTATCACTTTAGGCTGCAGATTATCTCGAGCAAGCTGAGTACAATACTGGTAACACTAATGAAGACCTGAAAACAGAATCCTTGATTAAACAGCTACTTTATAACCCCAAACTTCAAGCTGCGTGTCCAGTTCCATTCGATGAAGCTAAGTTGTGGAAAGGCCAAAGTGGACCTGAGCTCAAACAAAAAATTCAACATCAATTCAGAAACATCAGGTATTAACTCAAAACTAATGGCCCTAGCTCGTGTTGGCGTTTGAATGAATGTGTAGGAAAAAAAAAAGTTAACCGACCCTTATTGTGACTTGCAAATTGTTATTTTTGGATACATAGGTTTGATATTCACATTAGTTTTGCCTTCAGTAATGTCCTGTGATATGGTTCTGCCTTCCATAGTCTGTTTTAGAATTTTACTTTTCATTTCTGAAAGCTGGTCTATTTGACTTTCATAGTGCTTATCTGAGCACATTTTTTATCTTTATACTATAAACAGACATGATTGTATCAATATGCACACGATTAATGTTCATTTGACTCATTGGCAATGGAATAATTTTTGTTGTATGCAGCGCATTGATGGATTGTGTAGGGTGTGAGAAGTGTCGATTATGGGGAAAGCTTCAGGTTCTTGGTCTTGGAACTGCATTAAAGATTCTCTTCTCTGATGATGGTCAAGAAAACATGGTTCAAACAGTAAGTACATTTGTTAGAGTGTTGTTTTTCTTCTTCTCTTTTCAAACGTGTTTATTCCTGCTTGCTATGAACAATATAATGGCACTAACGTTGCTCTTAATGGTCTTTCAGCTGCAACTTCAAAGGAATGAAGTAATTGCATTGATGAATCTTCTCAATAGACTGTCAGAGTCTGTCAAATTTGTTCATGAAATGGGACCTACCGCCGAAAGACTCACAGAAGGATATCTTTTTGGCAACACAAAAGTTCTTATTAGCTCCTTGAAAAAAATTTGGTACAGAATACTTCAAACTTAGAGGTAACAACATTCTCTCTTCTGAGTATTTGTTGCATTTCCTTTTGGTTATTAATTTACTTGTTTGATATAGATAACTGAATACTGACTGCATTTGCATTTGATTTCTGCAGGAAGTAGTTGGTGTCACAGTTAGGCTTTGAATTACTCACATTACTCCAAAGGCTAGGCTTAGAAAACCATGATCATGGTTTGAAATTTTCCAAGGATGTGAAAGTAATTTATGTAACATGTTCACAATATAAATAATAAATAATATTTGAATAAAAATATGAGTAATAGAAAATGTGTTTTTGGAGATGAAAATCCCACTGATTTTGTTGAACTTTCTAGAACCTAGGGGTGTTAGGAAAAAATAGAAGGGAATGTGCCAAGTATTATTCAACTGCAAGTTTGGGGCTTAATAGAGCCTTACAAAGAAAAGGAAATTAACCCAACTCACTCCACTATTAGAAAACGTGAGTATGGATAGACCAATCCAATCCTACTAACCTAAAATGACACCTAAGCTAAGCACTAATTGCAATCAGTTTGCATTAGGCATAAAACACATTCCTAATAATCCTCGCAACGTCTCAATTATTTCAAAATTTTAATGGCTTTGCCATGATATTTGCTATTTGATGCTGAGAATGGAAGTGATTTTTTTTCCGGTTGTTTTAGAGATGTTTGTGTGTTTTTTATTTATTTTAAATATGTTGATGAATTTATGAAGAAAGTTGTAGAATTTAAATGTAAAAAAAAAAAAAAAAAAAAAAAAAAAGTAAAAAATACAATGATGTATATTAGTTTTTCTTTTCAATTAAAGGTATATTTAGTTCTCTTACATTTCGTGAAAGATTTTTATTATTGTAGATCTTTGTACAAGACTCACATGAGACTTCTTCTTTAATCTTCTAACATAACAAAGAAATAAACTACTTCCTTAATTTCTAACAATACTAATAATTATGATGGAGTTCGAATCACCCTGATTTGGATGACTTTTTCCAATAAATAGAAAGACATCTCTTCATATTTGTAAACACATGTAGAAAGAACAATTACTTTCTCGCAGATAAGAATCACCACCACACACTAGATAAAAATTACAACAAACCGATAAATTTTAGTGCTGACAAACTTTGCAGCTGACTTGGTAAAATTAAGAGCTTTGCTACTTTTATGATAAATTGACAATTCAATCTTCTCCTTCAATAAAGGATTCAAGATCATATAAACATTTGAGCATATAAATCCTCAAGTATTTTTACAAAAAAAATTTCTAAATTTTTTTTACATACGAATGAAAATTATGGAGGAAAAAGATTCTTTTTTAATATTTAATTGACATTTGAAACATATGAAAAATTGTTCATAAAAAACGTGATTTGAACAATGAAAAATTATGCATTTTATAGTGACACATGATACCCTTTGAAACTCATTGCAATGATTTAGAAATAATCACAAAATATGTTGCAATGATTTGGAAAGGTGTTTATGAACATGTGCCGTAAAAAGGTATGAAAAGATTCAAAAAAAAAATTCAATTTCATACACATGACTATCAATTGCGTGTGCATAACAATTGATTGCTTGCTTTTTAACATACAAAAATTGCCAAAACAATACTCTATGACAATTGATTGCACATACCCTAACAATTGATTGTCATACTTTAAAAATATAGTTTTTCGCTGACAGTTATATATGATAAACGATTGCTTCAATATGACAATTGATTTCTTAATGAAAAATGAAATTTTTGTTAAGTTAAATATGCAACTTGAAACTTATGCATGCTTAAAAGTTTATGATTGATTCTTGAGCACCTAAAGCTTATAACAATCAAATTGCCATTGTACCTTGGTCTATGATTCAATTTCATTGGAATCCAAAACTTTATGTGAACTTGATACTTTGATTCCAATATTTCCAATCTTTTTTTTCCTCTGATCTTTCTTCTAAGATAGGCTTTTGTCTTCATCAAAACCAAGCTAAAAATGGTGAACAAATCTTCTTAAGAATCTCCCATTCTTTATGATGACAACACGTTAATGAAAAGTTTTTTCTTGATGTTTGATTTCTCCCCCTATCTTGTATATCTCCCCTATCTTGCATATCCCCCCTTTCTTTTTCAATTTATGTTATGATGTGTTTGGTATCCTAAAAAACAACAAAAACAATCATCTTTTTTCTTCCCCTTTTTGACATTATCAAAAAGAAAGAGTAAAATTTGAAGGAGTATAATAATATAAGGGAAATGATACATTAACATAAAAGAACTGATCTTCTTCACAATATATGATTTGATGTCAATCTTTTTTAAATCATCTTTAATCCAATGAAGCTTTAATTCTACCATATCATATGGTCTTGTATCTTGAAAGATCAATCTTAAATTGACAATACTAACATATTATTTTCAAGTACCTACAAAATTATTAATAGTGCTTAAGTACCCAATATTCTTTGGGTCCTTTTGGGTTAGATCCATTCCTCACCCATACATACTCACTATAAGGAATATCATAATTTTTGAGGATTTCTTAATGCACCCTATATATTACTTAAGCACCACGTGAAAATACTTAAATGCCCCTAGATTTTGGAGATGCATCTCCGGAGGCACCTTGAAACATTAAATGAACTAGAGATGCATCTCCTTAATAATTTAAAACATATATCATGCATCACACTCATAAGCCATTTTACAATTTTATTGTACCGGAGATGCATCTTCGTTTATTTTACAGAGATACATCTATGTAACCTATTAGAACGGAATATTACATGTTACATTTTATTTATATACAATCTGGATGCAAAAAATGACGTATATAAATTCAGATGGTCCAAAAATTTCATATCTAAATAAAGTAGAAAGCAACGATAAAGTAACATGAGGTGAAAATAAAATACAATCCATAATGAATCTAGAGTATAACTATTATATACTAATGCACTATTGTGTATGTCAAACTACATCTCCTCTGTCTCCTCTAGTTACTCGGCCATCAACCCCCCTCGCCCTCTGACGTTGTCTCTAGTACATAAATGTTCCTCGTGTTTCCGTCATGATGGCATCTAGGATCTGTCTCACATCATACTCGTCAGGGAAAATACACCTGTCAATGCATGTCTGCGTAATCTCCATTATGCGAAGACATCTAGGAAAGACATCTTTAGCATGATCTAAATGTGTTTGCTCCTCTATTAGTATCTCCTAATGAGCTAGCATCGACGGATCTCCTGGAGCAGCCTGCACTATATACGAATGTGACACCCTAAATAACCACATGATGTACTCGTCGACGTAGCTCCATTCACTTTCAACTATGGTACTTCATTCTTTCTCTGATACCAGACAAATCTCATAATCATCAAACATGTCATCCATCTATCTACGTGTCAAATCAGGAGGAGGAGAGACAACAGGGTGTCTGGGAAGAGTCTGAGTGTAGCCGAACTGCTGCATGACGTGCTCGGGCAAATGAGGAGCAGTGAGACGTGATTCACAAGTCAATCGTCTCGAGAATAGCATTATATCGTCAAATGGTCACGTCTCACGATGATCGACATAGTTGTTGAAGTGCATGTCCTCGACAACTATGCGTCGAAGGTGGCAGTGATGCCTCTGATACCACTGATGACTTGGGTACCTCTGGTGCCTGAATAGGTGACACCTTACGCTTGTGGGATAATTGAGGGAATGATGCGTCGGTAGGTGAAACTCGTCTTCTACGGGAAGAAGAAGATGGAGAAGCATGACGTGAAGCATGAACCCCAGATGTAAATGGCTCTGCATGGCTAGAGTGAACAGGAACCTTCGGAACAACATCCTCCCGTGCCTTAGCATACCGCGTCTATCAGCCATAATGCCTCTAAGTTAAAGTAAACTAGACAATTATTGCAAGCAAGTAACACTACAAACAAGAAATTCAAAAAAAAAAAGCAGATGGTTATTTTACATATATGCATCTTTGGGTAATATGAAATCAAACGTTGAAAAATTTCTCAGATGTATCTTCGGGTAATCCAAATGTTAAAAAATCCAAAGATGTATCTCCAGAATTTTTTACAACTCTTCTGTTCATCAATGGAGGTAAGACACAAATGCAAACCTCAAAATAAATGGTTTGATTGTGATTTACAACAAACAAACTTGTTTTACAACATGTATAAACTAACATTCTTGCATTTCCTACTCATTTGATACCTAAATCATCATTTTCTACTAATTTACTTAAAAACTCAACAAAAAAAAAACTTCTCAAAACATCAAAAACTTACAATGTTTCACTTTACTTTAGTGTTGGACGATGTTTATGATGTTGATTAATGATCCTTTGAGCTTGATTGTTTGATTTTAGACTTGGTGATGAAAAAAATTGAGAGAGTTTAAATATAGTTTTAAGTATTTTCAGAAATGAGGAAGAAGAATGATTTTGATGCGATTTAAGCTCTAATTTATTCTAGAGATGCATCTCCGGAATAAGTTTGAAGATGCATCTCTAGGATATTTTAACGTTAACTCATAATTTGATGCGTTCAGAGATGCATCTTTGGAATCAGGGGGAATTTAAGTATTTTCACGTGGTGCCTAAGTAACATATAGGATGCATTAAGAAATCCTTTAATTTCTTATGTAGCAAGCATTAGAAGTGTGACCTTTTTCATTACAATAAAAACATATAGGTCTAAAAACGTTATTTCTTTTATAGACAAGAAAGTTATTTCTATCATAAGATCTTTTATGATGATTTGCAACATGAACTTTCTTTGATTCCTTATTTTTTGAATTTGCGAGTAGGCTTTACAAAGATAGTTTAACTTGTACTAGGTTTATCAAAATTAAAAAATCCAAGTCCACATATATTACTTGAATAACTTTGACTACCTAACACATTTTCTAAACCAATTTGACATTTTTTGGTAATTCTTAATCACTTGGTTTAATTCAACAATTTTAGATTCATGATCTTGACATTTATTACATATATAATTTTTGACTTTTTT